GGGTATTATTACATTTGTCGTACGACAAATTTTTCAAGCGTGTCGATTGGCCGCTGAATAGAAAGTTTCTAGATACTCGAGAATTTTACTATCCTTCAGCCAATCAATACGCTTAAAAGCTTTGTCGTACGACAAATGTAATACCAGCCTTACGACTACGTACGGTTATACTGTGGTCTCGGCGAGGCCGAAACGAACAGACCCGCCGTCAGTGATGCAAACTTTGGGGCTCGAGCGCCATCGGAGCTGCTCGAGCCCCGAAGTTTGCATCACTGCCCGCCGTAACCCAACATTCCCAACAGGTATGTACGTATTGTACGCCGTACACCGTACGGCCGATTCGCAATAGGACTAGAGGGAGAGGAAAGAGGAGATTCGTCCGGAGTATCGCGTCGTAATGCCGTCCGTGCGGGCGTCGACGTGGCGGCGAACAATTATATGATGCGCCAGCACACGCAAGTGGGACGAAACGTTGCGAGAGTCACCGCGGACGGCGTCCAGGTCCTAACCTAATTTCGTCCGTATCTATCTCCAAAGGAATCTCAGGTGGGTCTCGCCCCCTCCTCGGCGCGCAGCGAGAACGCACCGGGGGGGGTGACAGCCCCTGGCCGAGGGGATCGTCGTCGTCGTCGTCGTCTTCGTCGTCGTCGTCGTCGTCATCGTCGTCTGCTGTCCCGCGAGAAAAGAAAACGACACTTTGGTCCTCTCGTCCCTCCTTTCCTCTTGTACTCATTTCTTTCGACGCTCGATCGCCGAATTTGAGAAAGTTACACGTACGAAGGCGTACGGGCGGGCGCGATGCGCACGCGGCGCGGAATTGGGATACCGTTAAATAGGATGCACCAACGGATCTCGAGCATCGTGGCGTCTAACGATCAGTAATCGATCGGTAATCGCTCTTCTCTCTCTCACACACACTCTCACACTCTATTATCTTTGCATTAGCGTGCGAGACCCGAAAGTCACGCTCACGCGGGATATATTTCGCTCGACGGGTCTACGGAAAGTTTGTTTTCACTTGGTTTCTCACGCGCGACCCGTCGACTCTCGGCCTCGGTGCTTCAAGTAGTAATGCCGTGATTCTTGGTTTTTTCAGTACTGTACACGAAACATGATGTCCAACGGCATTCAAAATCCAACCAAGCAGATCGAAGCCAGCTCGGTGGGAAATAATGTACATCACTCGTCCTCCACATCGACAACGACGTTATCGTCGTCGTCGTCAGCAGCAGCAGCAGCAGCAGCGTCTCCGTCGGGCTTGAGCTCGACCCTGATGAGCTGGGCTCCTTATCTCCTGGCAGCCCGACCATGGTCGCTCAGCGTGTCGCTGATGCCGACGTTACTCGGTTGGACACTGGCGTCCCGTGTGACGGACCTCGCGACCGTCAGTATGCTGCTGCTAACTCTGTTCGTGGTGCTTTGCGTACACGGCGCCGGTAATGTAGTGAACACCTATTTCGACTACGTGAAGGGCGTCGACAGCAGAAAGAGCGACGACAGAATACTGGTAGATCAGATACTGACCAAGGACGACCTGGTGTCGGTGGGGGCATGCCTGTACGCGTTAGGCTGCCTTGGATTTGTCCTGCTGGCTGCCCTCTCCCCCGCGAAGATGGAGCACCTGGCTTTTGTGTACTTTGGCGGCTTGTCCTCCTCCTTCCTCTACACGGGGGGCATAGGATTCAAATATATCGCACTAGGCGATGTACTTATCTTAGTCATATTCGGTCCAATCTCAGTTCTATTTGCGTTCATGGCGCAAACCGGTTACGTTGAGCTAGGAACAATTTATTACGCGATACCGCTCGCCTTAAATACCGAGGCTATTTTGCACAGCAACAATACGAGGGACATGGAGAGCGACAAGAAGGCGGGGATCGTAACGCTAGCTATCTTAATAGGTCATACCGCGTCTCATGTTTTATATGCTTTTTTACTGTTTACACCGTACATAATTCTTATAGTATTGGCGTTCAGATATTCCATCTGGTTTCTACTGCCAGTGGTCACCCTGCCGACCGCCTTCAAAATAGAAAAGGAATTCCGCAATCCGCTTAGAATTCAAAATGTGCCTAAACAGACAGCCAGATTAAACATGTTTCTAGGTATGTTGTATGTTGCCGCTTGTTCGCTCGTGGGCTCGCTTCCTTATCTATCACCCTAAATTTATTCGTCGAGCTTTCGCCCCCCCCCCCCCCCTGTCTTGGATTATTCTTTCTATACGGCAACGTGATGCGCCCGGTGATACTTTTCTCATTAAGATTTCATTCAGACAAACAAAAGCAGTAATTTTGTTAAATTTGTTCTTATTTATTACATTCACTAGGTCATATCGTAACGTGTCCAGATGGCCGCTCGCCGTTTTGTTATCTGCAAGAGTAATCCAAGATCGACGTTCTTGATGAAGTTAGGACTTGATCGAGATACATATATCGGTAGCTTGTTGTCAACTGACAAATTTGATAATTTTATCAAGAGCTCTGAGCCCTCGTTCGATCACATTCAAATTATTATTTATAGCACAAGTGAAGAGAGAACAACTCCATTGTCGGAGATATTTAAGTCACGTTTGCCTCGAGGTACAAATTTTATTCATATCAGTTTCGAAGTGTCTGTCACGAATTTAAGTCTCCCCGTGACTCGGTCTTGAATATTAGTTTACACTGCGCACTGTACTGTCACTTTTTGTAATAAGATAAAATATCATTTTCGCGGACGTCAGGACTTGAAGAAACGGAGGAATACAATGTGTAGTCCCGTCGTTCCCGTCTTTTCTCGTTTTTCACTTAAAAAGTCCAACTAAATCTTTTATACGAATCCCTCGACAATTAAACTTCTTGAAACAGACTTTTGTGTATTTATTTTAAGATATATCTCAAGAAAAAAAAATACATTCGCGATGACGCATAGTAGAACTGCGTGTTGCGTTACACGAATGAAGTGTACGCGCATGTATCTTTTCGTTATGAAACTATCCGACCACAATGTTACATATTATTTATGTTGCAAACTTACGCGCGTAATAATTTTAAGCCTAAGTGCAGAATGACTGTCTCGTATTCTTAAGACAACAGTTTTTGTGCTTTACTTTAAAACAAAGATTTAAAACGACACATTGCCTCGAGAGAACGAGACAGCCATTCTGCTCAGACCCTAAGCCTGATATTGCATTTGTCGTACGACCATTTTTTTTAAATGTGTTGATTGGCTGCAGGATAGTAACATTCTCGAGTATCTAGAAATTTTCTATTCAGCAGCCAGTCAACACGCTTGAAAAATTGGTCGTACGACAAATGTTAGATTAACAGAGTGGGTAACACGCGAGCATTACAGTGTCGTATACGACGCATATGTACTACGTCTTATATTGGCATGATATGTTATATTTTCGGTAACATATGTTCAACTTGATTCAAATTGATCGTCTTATTTCTACCGAATCTATTAATCCCTTCTCCCCACTAATGGTTCGGATACTAATACATCAATGACGTAGCATACATAATCTTTAGACAATGTCATAGAGCAGAGTATTGTAACGTCACTGTTTGTTTAAGTGCTGTAAGGACTCTTATACGGTTGTAATATTTATTTCCTAAATATATAGAGACTCGAATTAGGAGTAAATCAAAAAACATAGCGGAACCAAATAAAAATACATAGCTCGCTTTTACCTGGATCTATCCGATAATCGATTAACAATGAAGTATAAAGAAACTGTAAATGTGTTCTGTGAGTAGCGAAATGAAACATGCTGGTAATGCAGGAGTCATCGTAACATTAATTTTAAACAGGTTTTGAGGTTTTATATAATTATACATATATAAAATTGTTATACAAAATTTTTATTACAAGAAAGCAAAATATCATGTCAATTTGTATTATATTCTGTACATAATGTCACGAAACCTTGTATTATAGCATCATTTGATCTCAGTTCATAGATAAAGTTTATTAACACCTTTCGTTATAAAGTATCCTATATCGAATATCTTTCTTTGAAGGCACATACATTGTTAGAGTTCGACGTGTATAATAAAATTGTCATATCGGGAGGATGCGGGAAGGAATGTGCAATACAAAATCGAAGAAAGATATATGAATATGGGAGAAGCGAAGGAAATTTGTGTCACTATTTTAATAAATGATTTAATATATTTTCATGGCACTGATTCTTTCAGAATACACACTGTTTCTGAACAAGTTTCTCTTTCTCGTTTTCTCTATGAGAATTTAACTGTGTTGTGAATGTACAATATCAAGTGACAATACCTTTAAGATCGTGGAAAAGCGATGGTTTTGTTATAAATATATATTTTCCAAAACACAATTCTACGAATTACACATTGTACATAAATATATATATATATATATACACATGATAATTATGTTACGGAAAAAATAAATTAATGACTAGTTCTATTTTTATGATCTTATAACATACAACTTAATAACGTTTAAGCAGTGATTTAACAGTATTCCCTTCGGTTATTTGCAAATATATTTTAAATGTCACACAGAGATATACTCGAACTGGAAAACATTGTTTCAAGGTCATCAAAATCATTGCATGTCAATAGGATATAATGCATGTTGTACATAAGGTGTATAGCAATATAAAATGTAACAAAAGACACTATTCAAATTTGTTATACCGTTAAATGGAAAGGAGATGGGAGGAAAGCTCATACATCATACGCTTTACCCCATCAGGTCCACCTCGTCGAGCAAAGCGGTCTTCAGTCTGTCTTCCAATAACGCGTTCTCCAATTGTTGCGCCTGCAAGCGGTCTTCTACCTCCATGGACACAGAGTGCACGTCCATGACGCAAGCCGTGGTGCTGTCGCAAAACTCCGCTAGCGCACCAAATTCCTCGTCCAACGCGCTGTCGTCCAAATCGTTTTCCGACTTGTCGAGCTTCTTTCGTTTCCTCGTCGGCTCATTCGACGCATTGTCGCCCGAGTTCCGTTCGTGTACCATAAACTCCGTCAGTACGTTGGATTTGAACCACCACGGTAAAGTCCGGAAGTGCCTGACGTGATTTCTGTTGTAAATGACCATTTGATCTTCCTCCAGAAGACGCACCTTCTCCTTGACCACATGCAGTAGTATGTGTACGAAGCTGGATACTTGCAGGCTGCCCGAGGTGAGGAACAGGTTGCTCAGTATATCGCAAAATACGATGTTACAGTTCGAGTCGGACAGCACGTCCCTGCAATAATTCGTAACGTGTCGCCGTAGATCCTGCAAGTCTGTTATCGGCCATGGTGCGCTGGAAACGAGAAAATAAGGGTGACTAAAGCGCTGAAAATTATACAGCCGTCGCCGTGCATTTTGCTAAATATATTGATGCAATCAATGATTGCACCGACTGCGATCACCTACTTCCACGGTGGTAGGACAAAACTGTTCATCGCGGTCTCTAGTCTTGCTCTGTACTCGTCTCGTTTCCACGATTCGTCGAAATATTCGTAGCTGCACGGCACGGTACTGCTGCTCTTGAGGAACTTCTTCAACTCGGGCGCGAAATTCGTGTACAGCATGGATTCGGGATCCAAGATTATGTCGATCAAGTGATTCACAGCCTCATTGTGCAAATCGATTACAAAGTTCGGGTCCTTTAATGCGCTTGACAATTGTTTATTGAACATGGAATCGCCCAGTATCCTGTAAATTATAACAGAGAGTGTAGAATATACAATCGGGTAAGAATGTAAGTAGAGAAAGTGTCTCTTGTACCTCAGCCACAACTCCTCGGACAGACAAATGTCGTATACATTGCGCAGGTAATCCATTTCCAGCGGATTCGGCGGTGACTTGTTCATCGTCAACCATAAAACTGTGCTCTGCGTCAAATTTAAGATAACTTTCGCGGATAGATTCTCCTCGTACATGATCGTGTACTCCGACACGTAGCCACATTCCAGGAGGGACTCCAGGTCTGAGACGATACTGTCATTCTGACTCGCCAAGTCCCCGCTACCCAGGACGATAAAGGCGAGTGGCATGGGCATCAGCTTGTGCCGCGACAGTACCGTCCTCGTTAAGCGTTTCGCGACGGACTTGTAGTTCTCCGACGCGTCGGCGATGAACAGAAGCGCGTCGGCGCCGATCAGGTGGTGCTCGCTGATCAGACCCTCGAAGTGCCTTACGCAGACGTGCAAAGTCTCGTAGGGATTCGACCGGTAAATCTTCACGATAGGGTCCATCGTAAAATTGTCGGGATACAGGTATTCGTTCATCAGCTTCTTGTAGTACCACAGGACCGCCCTGTTGGCCAAGTCCGGCCAGGAGATTACGAGTTTCCAGTACACGTTGGGCAAGGGCTCGAGGTCCAGCGATCGCACGTTCTCCTTGACGCCGGCGTACACGATGGCCTCGATCGGCGCGAGGGTCTCCGTCGTGCCGGCCGCGACGTCCTCCGTTTCGCCTCGTCGCCGTTTGCGCATCATGTTCCGCACCACGACCTCCTGCTCCTTGGTGTACAGCATCCGCGCGGTCTCCTCCACGGAACGCCTCTGCAGCCAGACCGGCGTGTCCTCTAGCGCCGCTCGCTGCCGCTTCTTCCTCGCCACGTGCTGCCGCCAGACGTTCGCGCATCTGACGATCACCCGGTTCTTAATTCGCAGCAACATCGCCTCCAATTTCCGTTGGCGCTCGATCTCCGCGGTCAACGCTGCATCGCACATCTCGTGCATCACCTCGCCGACCAGGTCCGAGAAGATTTTCCCGCTCAGCGTGTCGTACATCTCTAGCCTGTCGATCTCCTGCCTCGCGATAGCGGAGCACAGCTCGTGCACGACTTCCGCGTGCAGGCTGTTGCAAATCTCCGCCGACTGCTCCTCGACCCGCTGCAGCCTCCTCGCGTGCTCCAGCTTCTCCTGCCTCGCTCGCTCGGCCTCCAACATCGCTTGCTCCTGAGCCTTTTGTTCCCTGTGGAAGACACCTCGCTCCTTCGTCGTCTTAGCCGCGTCGTCCGCGAACGCCGATGATTGGGCAGAAACTGGTGCTACGGGGAAATGTTTATTAACGAATATCATGGAGGGAGAAGGCGTGACGTTCCTCGTGAACATATTTCCCGACTCCACGCCGGAGAAGATGCTCTTGTTCACGGCCATCGCGAACGGTGGAACCGGCTCCACGTTGCGCGCCGTTTCCGACCTCGAGAACATGGACAGACTCGCCGCAAATGGATGATCGCCGAAAGTGCCAAACGTCGTCGGTTGTTGTTTCTCATCAGTCGCACTTCTCGGCTGCTGCTTAACACTGTCAAGCTGTTGTCTCTCGGAAGCTAGTGCCGCCGATGTGCCAGCTTTGTTCTCGAGTGCGCTCGGTTCCCTCGGCTTGGGATCGACGCATGTGTTCGGCGCCGTTTTAAAGACACCCGAGGTGACCGGCTCGGATACCTGCGTCTGTTTGAACGCATCCGTCTTGTCGTTCGCCGGCTGCTTGCGAGCTTGCGCGGAACGAAGGTCCCGGACGGCTCTCTGATCTTTATCCCGGATCGACGTCAACTTCGGTACCCTCCTCGGCTCCTTCTCCACGAATTCGTACGGGTCGTGTCGCGCCGCGGAAGAGGCATCGGCAAACTGGTCTGCGGCGTTGATGGACTCCGGCTTCAGGTAGCCGTGCGCGTCGAAGCTGTTATGCGGCTTGTGGTCCTTGTAAGTCTTCTCCGGCATTCGTTTACCGGCGATGCACTGACCAATGCTGCAATGTAGGACGACTCTCTTGGATTCTATTAAATTGCAAGCCCTGCCCTGCTGGATGTTGCCCGTGGGCATGCTGAAGTTCTGACGATTCAGGAGGATGTACAGCTCGTCGTTCGACATGGCCAGTCCCGCGCGTTCGCAGAAGTACACAGCTTCGTTCTCGCTCTCGAAGCCGAGGATGTCCATCAGCTCGTACAGCGGGAAGGCGGTTGAGGTACTTCTGCAGTATGCCTTCACCATTATCGAAAGTGCTTGCAATCTGACCTGGTTGAAGTATCTCAACAGAATGCAGGCGTTCAAGTAGGTCGTCTCTCGAACGAGCTTGAAAAATTTGTAGTAGTTGTTCGAGTCCAGAGAGAAATACACCTTGATCGCGAACTGGACCTCCGGCGAATTCTGCACGGGCTTGGGCAGCTGCTGCAGGTCGTACGAAAAGTTCCCGTTGAGATTCAGCAGGACGATGTAAGCCCGGAACTCGGGCTCGTTCTCGCAGGCGACGCCCCTCACTCTCAAGTCATGATACATGTACTTGAGGGTCTGCAGGCACTTGGTCAAGTTCTCCGAGTTGATCTTCTTGTCGAACACGGACGCGTCCTCCGCGCAGAGCCTCTCCGAGCAGACTATGTGGAACCTGGCGCACTGCTCGATCAGCTCGACGCTCTCGCTGCAGCACAGCTCCTGCTGCGTAATGTCCTTCCTGATGCCTCTCGTCCGGTCCCAGAGGAAGTGATACCACTCGGCCAGGTTCGTGCCCTCCTGCTCGCAGAGATCCACCAACTCGTGGAGCAGGTAGCTCATAGTCATCTTCAGGGACCTCACCGGCCTCAGCTCGTGCGGCATCGGCTCCTCCTGGTCCGCGGAGGACCTCGAGTACTGCTTCACGGCGGTCGCGTGATTGATCCTGTACTCGTTCCCCTCCAGTTGCTCGTACGACGTGACCTGCCTCTGCGACTCGCGCATCAGACGTTCCTTCTCCGGGCACATGTCCGGGCACGTGCCGCTGGTCACCTTGGCCGTCGCGAGCGACGCCGGCTTGACTCGCTTCAGTCTCATGAGACGGTCTCTGGCCTCCAACACCTTGTACTTGTCCTCGGCCGTAAGGGCGGCCTGGTGTATTATATTCTGCAGCTCCTCTATGGACTTGCTGGGCAGAGCTTTGACTATCTGACTCTCGGCCTCGTGCTTCTCGGCTTTCGCGGCGGCTTTCTCCAGCTTCGCCGCGGCCTTCTCCAGCTTCGCCGCGGCCTTCTCGTGCGGCAGCGCCGCTTTCGCCGGCGTCTTGGCCTTTAGCGGAAGCAACGCGCCCGCGTCGGCGAGCTCGGTCCCCTTGGCGGGATGCAAATTGTACTCTACGTTCGCCATGGCTTCCAATTCCGACTTGATCTCGTCGTCGGACGCTTTGAGCAGATTCGCCACTATGTTCCGCTGCAGATCCTTCTTCTTGACCGTCTTCGCCGACTCCAACTTTGACCATTCTATGTGAAACTTCTCGCCCATGTAATCACCGCTGCCGTAGTACGCGGCGCTCGCCTCTATCTTGGTCGTATAAACCACCGTGATGACGCGCTTCTTCGGCCGAATGGTTATCTTGACGATACTGCCGTACCTCATGAAGTGCTCCTTTGCCGCCGTTTTAGTCAGCAAAGCCTTGGGCACTTCGGAGCACGTTATCGAGTTGTCCACGTTGACTTTCGTGACGCGCGACCTGGCGTTCTTCCTCAGCTGCTCGAACGCCCCCGTATCCTTGAGGGCGTTAGCGAACACGTTGACCGTAGGCTTGTACGTGTTCCTGGAGATTCTCGGCTTGTACTTGTCGGGCCTGCCGGCCCACGGGCCCGCGCGACCCCGACTGTGTCGCGGCACTATCGTCGGCGCGGCGAAGGTGAACACGTTCTTCTTGCCAAAGGGGGTGTCGAAGACATGATCCGAGCCGACGCCGAAGCTGACGACTCTCGGAGAGTCCGGCACGGCGCTCGGCTTGGAGAACACGAAGGAGTTGTTCGAGGCCGTGCTTGCTCTCGCCGCGTCGACTTTCGTTTCGTCCATCTCGCCCCGGAGCTTCGCGTCTATCTCGAGCCTGCAAGGACACCGACGTTAGTAATGTACAAGCAACTCGGGAGCTTACGCTCCGTAACTACCCAGACGACACGCATGTCTAAAAAGCGCCATAAGGATATCTTTAAGGCAGCTTTTAAATGCACATGCCCGGTTAGGAGACTCGGGGAGCTCACTATCAGTGCTACAAAAATGATGCCTGTATTTTGCAGCTTTCTTACACCAAAAGCTAAAGATTTATGGTTCTCTCTTACTCCTTACGCCCAGGCTTACTCCACGCATTGTAGACGACGCATCAGACATGCATGTTGTCTGGGTAATGCCTTCGGCTCTTCTTCTGAATTTTTGGCCCAGCCCTTGGTCAAGGAACTATTCTGGCCATCAACGAGCACAAAATCCCTCCGACTCATTTCGCATGTTTTCTATTATAGCCACACTGAGTTTCATTTGAAAGCAAGGCCAATATTACGAGGAAGAAGTGCGAAAGAGATCGGGCGAAACGCAGATACTTGCGGTTTGGCACTTGCGCGTGCCAGGCTCTCTCGGAAGGAAATATTGATAACCGCGTCTCAATCGGCATTCATGAACGACCGTGAGTCTGCCAGTCTGTCTCCGGGATTTCGGGACGCTATCTTTTCGAGGAAAACGGTTATTGACAAATTACCAACGTCAGGCGTGACATAACCTACGAGTGTAACGCGCGCGCTCAAAACACATCCCACCTGTCTCACACGCGAAACGATGGCGCGACCTGGTGCGTGAAACTGCAAGTTCGCGGGGGCAGAAAAATCCCCGAGGTTTTTTTCTCGATGATTTTTGGAACGCGTCCCGATATCCAATGAGTTTCATTTTAACTTATTGCACTAGTTCAGTAGTGCAGTAATAAAGAACAAGCCT